CGACCCTGCTTCGCTTCCAAGACTGGGCCAGCCTGGGCCATCCGGGACGGAGCTAAAGGCAGACAGAGGTGGTTGGCCATTGCCTGCCTCTGCGTAGCAACCGAGGGCTCCTCTGGTGGTCTCCCATCTGAATACTCACCAGGGCCATCCCTACTTCGCTTCCGAGATCTGGATGACGGCTTTCAAGAAGAGGCCGGGTGAATATTTGTCAGAGATGCGTTAGGCTGGTCCTGCATGGGGCAGGGGGGTTGGGCTAGATCAGGTGTGGCTGAACTTGCTCAGCGTAAGATCCACACAGAATAAACGTCAGCTGTTTGAGAGCCACAAGCTGTGAACAAATAGGGACCTGACGTTTTGCCTTGACCCAGAGAGTGCTCCGTCTTTCTGTGTGATACCTCTGAGGATGCCAGTCACAGCTACTGGCGAAACGTCAGGTCCTACAATGCCAAGGCCACGGCCAGACAACCCGGAAAATCTACAACAGCTAACTTTCTAATATGAATTATACAATACAATAACTTTTGTCACTTAAGTATTTTGTAAGGAACGTCGTGACTCTAGCGCTACCTTCTCTGTTGCATTAGGTGGAGGAAACTTTTGAGTTGATGCATATTCCTCTAGTGTATATAGATTTATAGAAATACACTGAATGTTGCTATATGATATGTGATGAAATTATCGTATTGTATAATTCATGTTAGGGAGTGTTTAATAGATAGCTATACAACGCTTGATGGTCTGTTTTCTGTGTAGTTTTGTTTATAGTGTTCATCTGCTGACATCAAACTTCCCTTTTGTGTCGTTATTGCCACATAAAACCACAGCATAGCAAGGCCAGAGGCTTAACATTGGCTTCGAGCGGATGCTATTTCCCTCCATACCGTGAAGAGCTTCAGTTGACTGTTTCCACATATTCCTGGCTGTTCTCCCGGAAAGGTTGAGAACCGAGGTATTAGGCTAATTGTACCAAACAGCAAACATCTGCTGCGTTCATCGTGAGAAGCTACCTTGGCAGGGTGACAAGAGATAAGAGCTGTAAGGTTTTGAGATCAACACATTCCAAGCCATGAACGTATATGCCTGTAACTTTCTGTAACTTTCCCTGACAAAGGAGAAGGAGGGGAGTGGGGGAATTATTATCAATAAATATCTCTGCTCAGCCCGGGCAGAGACAGAGTTTTCCAGCAACCGTTTGTCTTGTGTCTGCTTTGAACCCTCCGAACACCACAAACGAGACTGCGTTCAGTTGCAACTCTGGGGGGAGGAGATGGGTGAAGTGCTGTGTAATGAACAAAGGGAATGGGGGCCTCCCCCCGCCCCATAACTTCTGCCTCTCGAGAGAGGGTGGCCAGTTCTGGGTTGAGCAATCTGTGATTTTTTGGGGGGGGCCGTGGGGTGGGCTTTGGGGGTGGCGGCTCAGCCACAAAGAGCCCGCCCTCCAAAGTAGCTGTTTTCTCCAGGGGAACTGATCCCTGTCGGCTGGAGAGGCTACTCAGTTTTGCCACCCACCGCCTGGGCCTGCCGATTAGATCGGGGCCTGGTCAATGAGCCGAACGCCGAGTTGGATCTTGCTCACACTAACTCAGCTTAGAGGGAACACTGGATTCCTAACTTTCGGGGTGTCAGATCAAGATGGGTTGCCGTGTTAGTCTGTCCGTAGCCGTAGAAAAGAGCAAGAGTCCAGCCGCACCTTGAAGACGAACAAAATTGGTGGGAGGGGAGGAGCTTTCGAGAGTCACGGCTCTTTTCCATTGGTGTCTGAAGAAATGAGCCGTCACTCACAAAAGCTCCTCCGGCCACCAATTCTGTTAGTCTCTGAGATGCTGCTGGACTCTTGCTCTTACGGGGTGTCAGGGCACGAATGTGCCACTGACACTATCTTGGATTTTGTTGTTGTTGCTGTGAGGCAGGGAATTGCAGCGGTGGGGCAGCAACCTCTCTGGCCCCTGGTTGTGTGAACGGGCCTCTGTAACACAGCTCAGCGCCACTTACAGCACTTCGGCACCTTCAGACAAGGGATTCCCCCCTTTCCTTTATTCTCTCAATGCAAAGTGGCTTGCAAATGCAAAGTGGTCTTGCTGCCCCCACCACCACTGTTTGCACACGAAAGCTCATACCTTGAATAAAACTCTGTTGGACTTAAAGGTGCCTGTAAAAGGTAAAGGTAAAGGTCTCCCTTGCTCGAAAGCCAGTCGAATCCGACTCTAGGGTTGCGGTGCTCATCTCCATTTCAAAGCCGAAGAGCCAGCGCTGTCCGAAGACGTTTCTGTGGTCATGTGGCCGGCATGACTAAACACCAAGGCGCATGGAACGCTGTCACCTTCCCACCGAAGTGGTACCTATTTATCTCCTTGCAATTTCTTGCTTTCAAACTGCTAGGTTGGCAGGAGCTGGAACTAGAGACGGGAGCTCACTCCATCATGCGGCACCCGGGTCTCGAACTGCTGAACTACTGACCTTCCACAGCCTGCAGTTCAGCGTCTTAACCACTTGAGCCACCGCAGCTGGACTCTAAATTTGTTCTGCCGCTTCAGCCCAACACGGCGACCCCACCTGGATCTATCTGGAGATCAGTTGCAATAGCGGGAGATATCCAGCCCCCACCTGGAGGTTGGCGACCCTACTCCACAGCAGCCGCTGCCACTTCTTCAGATACCGAGGCTTCGTAAAAAAAAAAACCTCCCCACTGCATGGTAAGGTTTTTGCAGACAAGGCAGCTGTTATCTAGTTATCTCCCCCCCCTCCCCATTTTGGTTTGTGCTTTAAAGTCCTGCTTAAGTTTCTGATGAGCTCCGTGGCCCACTGGCTTCTTTGATCCTTGTTGCTGCCTTCCTGAGGCTCTTTGGATCTTGGTTTTTTATACAGACCAGCCAGGCTGCTTGCAATCGCTCACAACTCGTGAGTCACAACTTTTCCTAACTTTTTGCAAAGGCCGCAAAATAAAAGTGTGTTAAAGCGTGTAGCTGGTGCCCCCTGCAGGAGAGTTTAGCACACAACACGTGCATTGCAAGACAAATGACAGGCCAAGAAGGAATGGGGAAGGCGCAGGATTCCTTTCCATCTGAGCCCGCCAGGAACAGCCCATCTCTGCACCCGGCCACCAGGAGGCAGCAGAGAGGGCACAGCATTAGGGGGCCAACTGATCAGCTAGGGTCAGTGGTCAGTGGTCCTGCCGGTAACCACAGCGGTGTTCTGCTCCTCTCCTTGCTCCAAAATGGTCGCCTGGCCAATTAAGGGGGTCAAGATTCAGCTTTGGGGCTTTAAAAAAAAAAAAAAAAAGATAAGTGTATCTCAAGACCAGGTGCTCCATAACAGTGCAGGGCCTGGAGACCTCCTGGAATTACAACCAATCTCCACACTGCAAAAATCAGTTCCCCTAGAGCAGGGGTGTCAAACATTCAGCCCAGGGGCCGGACCAGGCCCCCGGAGGGCTTCCATCAGGCCCACAGTGGAACTGGCCATCTCCTGCTTCCAGTTGTTGTTCTTCTTCTGCTGCTGCTGCATCATAGCTTGCTTCGCCAGACTCTTAATCACTCGGCCGTTTCATGTTTCAACCCGGGTCCTAGACTCAGAACTCTGAGCATGAGATTTCTGTGGTGGATGTCAATAAATCAAAAGCAGGCTTGCAGCTTACAGAGCTAACGTTTTAAGGATGTTTTTAGCTTAAGTTAAAAAAAAAATCTGTGTGTTTGAGACAGAGAGGTAGAGAGAGACCAGCCCAAGAAACCAAAACTCCTTTCTACGCTCTCCAACCACATCAGGAACAAAGCAAAGCCTGATCATGGCTGCTGGCTTCCTCCTTGCCATCCCTGAGAAAACCAGATGTGCAACTCTTACTTCTGTAGTGGCTTTCGTTACTATCCCTAATTCCTGGGTGTGTCCACCATACTCTTCCAGGCTTACTTGCTGCTGCTGCTGTAGAGTGCTGTCATGCTTAACAAATTGGGTTTGATTTGTAAATCTTACCTGGTGTGTGCTTGGTGTAGTGGTTAAGTGTGTGGACTCTAAGCTCACACGTTTTTGTCTGGGCTCAGGAAGGATGGCTCCAGAGCAAACTAATTTATGCAGCAGCCGAGTGGCTCGCTCACAACTTTAATGCCAGCAGCTCACAAAGCAGAATTTTTGCTCACAAGACTCCACAGCTTAGAGGGAGCATTGTCCTCAACTTGCAGCTGCTGGGTGACCTTGGGCAAGCCATAGTTCTGACAGAGCTTTTTTCTCAAGACAGCTCTGGAAAGAGTTCTGTCATCCCCACCGACCTCACAGGGTGTCTGTTGCGGGGAGGGGAAGGGAAAGGAGTTTGTAAGCTGCTCTGAGACTCCGAGTGAAGGGCGGGGTATAAATCCAATCTCCTCCTCCTCCTCCCACGAGAATTCTGAAACTGTGGCCCACTCAGTAGAGTTGAGCTCAGTGCAATAAATTCAAAGTGCCAGTTCGTATCTCTAAGTCCCTGACCGATTTGGGGCTGGAGTATTCAAAGGACTGCTTCCTCCCCTACTATCTGGCCCGCCGCCTAAGACCTTCCTCACAAGCCTTTTTTTTTGAGGAGAGAGGGGGGTGGTGAAGAAGGACAGGGCTATTTCAGTGGTGGCACCTCCCCTTTGGAATGCCCCCCCCCCGGAGCTCGCCTGGCACCCAGCTTACTTTTTGTGAGAGGCCAAAATGTGCCTTTTTACTCAAGCCTCTGACAGACGGTTCCCATCTTCTTTCAACTGCTTTATGGTCTGCTTCTAGCCTTTTGTATGAATATTATTTTAGATGGCTTAATGTTCGTTGTATGCCGTTTTTATGCCCGGGCTGGTTTCTCACGGCACGTTGGGTTTTGTGGTACTGTTTCAGGTGTAATAAGCCACCTCAGACAGGGCTCTGGAGAGACAGAATATCCATTTCCTATCTAATTATGCGCTTTTTCTCCCTCCGCCTACCCTCTCCCCCAAGACAAAGGCCAAAACAGATTTTTGCTTTGCATCCCAAGATCACCGTTTAATATAATTCCTTGCGATAGGTACAAAGCACCCTGCGGTCCCCCCCCCGAAAGAATCTCATTACCGTGGCACAAAAATAATATCGGGATTGTCTTCTCTTTTAAATTTGCATTCACCCAGACGTTGTTCTAGTTAGAAGAGCAGCCTACAAACACGATTTCATGAAGGATCTGGAGTCACGCCTTCTCCAGAATACGATTATTGCATCGAGGGTCTCTGTCGAATCCTGGATGGCCGATGGCAGCGGCTTCCTGAACCTTAAGGCGTGGCCTCCAGCTTTCCAACATTTGGTTGTGGTACTTCCCCCCCCCCTCCCACTATCAGGCCGGAGGTCTCCCGAAGCCCCTGCTGCCTTCAGCAACGTTGAAAATACTTCGGGAGGTGCTCTCTTCGGCACAACTCTGTCAGAGCCTGGGAGAAAATGGCGATCTGGACCGACGTTGAGGGGGGAGGTGAGGTTTGGCAGGGAAAAGGTCAATTTAAGGCACCAGTGGCAGGTTTGGGGAGGAACGCCCAGCATCCCTCACCCTTAGTGGGGCAGTGCATTTGTCAACCTCCGGGTCATCTCTGGGTCTCCACCCCACTCGGAGCCCTCGGCTGAGGGCAGAGAGCCACTGTGGGCCTGGCCCTGAAGGACACTTGAGCGGTGGTTGTGAGAGGAGACGCCCGTGAGGCGACCCTTCGGTCTGGCAGGCTCGTGTGCCCAATAAGGTGCTGGAGGGCCGGAGGGGGTCCCCCTGCCCACCTCCACCCTGGAGCGTTCCCTCCCCCAGGAGAAAACTCCGGAACCCTGGCCGTCAGTCTCCCACATCCCCACCAAACTCCGCGGCCCACAGAGGTGGGGGGAAGGGAGAGGCACTCAAAAACCCCCTCAAAATGATGCCAACAACTTTCCCGAGGGCAGCGCCTGAGGCCCTTCTGCCTCACGAGCCGAGGCACCAGCCCCTCTGAAGGCGTTATGGGGCAACCGGGGAGAAACCCTGGTTTCGAAAAGCTTTGGCTAACCTCTTGGCGTCTTTGGCCCCTTCCACCGCTTGGCGGAGGCACTTGGAAGGATCGGCCCTCACCCCGGCCAGCTCCCGAGCCAGGCGCTCCAGGTCCCGGCGGGAAAGGCCTTCCAGAACGTTCCACTGGGGGAGGAAGTAGTGAGGAAGGCACCGGTGGACTAAGCAGGCCGAGAGGTCGTCCAGCAGGCCCAGCCAGGCGTGCGCGGTGTTCTCCTCTCGGCCCAGGTAGCTGGCGGGCAGCCGCTCGCAGGCCCGGAGCACCAAGGTGAAGATGTGATAAGGGCCGAAGCCCTCGGGGAGGTGGCGGCCGAGGACGGCCGTGGCCGCTCGGAAAGCCTGGAGCACAGGCTGGGGCAGAATCCGCCTGAGGTGCAACTCGCTGGTCGAGAAGGCCAGGCGCCAGCGGGCACCAGAGGCCGCGGGCAAGAGGTAGAAGCCCCCAGCCACTTCCTCGTCTCTCAGCTTGCCGTCCCAGAAATGGGCCTGAGTCAGCCAAGGCTGGGCCACTTCCGGCCACCCCTTCAAGGCCACGACCGGGACGAGGTCGTAGAGGACGCGGCAGTGTCCGACGGAGACCACCGCCGAAGTGACGCAGCCCCGGCGCTCGACCCGCGTGTCTTTGGCGGCGGCAGCAAAGGAGTGGGCGAGCCAGGCGGAGACCAGCTCGGCGGACAGGTAGGCCTCGTCTCCCAGGCAACAGTCCGACCAGCGGTGGAGCGTGGCGGGCTCGAAGGGCCGGAGGCTGATCTGGGCGTGGCCGGGGGGGCTCTGCTTCATGTCCAAGGTGACGGGGACCCCGGCAGCGTGAAGAATGGGCACCAGGAGGGTGAAGTCCACGTCATAGTCCCCTCCGGGAGAGAGGTGGTGTGGGACAGCCAGGTCCACATCGACGGTGCCTTGCTGGACCCCTCCGGAGAGAAGCAGGTATCGATTGACTGCTGGAAGCTTCCCGTCAGAGCTCTGAACCACACCTGTGGGAGGGGGTCAGAACAGGACAAAAGTGCCTTAGAACATGAATGACACTGCAGAGGGCTGAGGGGCTGGCAACAGGATGGTGAAGAAAGGCAGCCCACTCCTGGGAAAAGGATGTGGAAAGCGAGAGCCAGTCTGGAGCAGTGGTGAAGTGCGCGGACTCTAATCTGGGAGAACCGGGTTTGATTCCCCACTCCTCCACTTGCACCTGCTGGATGACCTTCACTCAGAGTCTCAGAGCGGCTTACAAACTCCTTCCCCTCCCCACAACAGACAGCCTGGGAGGTGGGTGGGGCTGAGAGAGCTCTTTCCAGAACTGTCCTTGAGAGAACAGCTCATATCAGAACTACGGCTTGCCCAAGGTCATCCAGCCAGGTGCAAGCGGAGGAAGAAGAAGAAGAAATTGGATTTATACCCCACCCTTCACTACCCAAGGAAGTCTCAGAGCGGCTCACAAACTCCTTTCCCTTCCCCTCCCCACAACAGACACCCTGAGAGGTGGGTGGGGCTGAGAGAGCTCTTTCCAGAACTGTCCTTGAGAGAACAGCTCTTATCAGAACTACGGCTTGTCCAAGGTCATCCAGCCAGGTGCAAGCGGAGGAGTGGGGAATCAAACCCAGTTCTCCCAGATTAGAGTCCGCGCACTTAGCCAGCCAGGATGGTGTAGTGGTTAAAGTGTCAGCCTTGGATCTGGGAGACCCAGAATCAAATTCCCACTCCTATCACGGAAGCTGGCGGGGTGACCTTGGTCCCATCGCACCCTCTCACAGTCGCACCTACCTCACAGGGTTGTTGTGAAGGTAAAATGGAGGGGAGGGGAAGGATGTAAGTCACCTTGGGGCCCCATTGGGGGAGAAAGGTGGGGTATAAATGAAGTTAATAACAATGAAATCAAAAGGAGCCCGTGGTGTCTGGAAGGTGGCGCTTGTCCACTTGAATTACACAAAGCGTGGATGTTAAACGGGGGCTGGAGGGGGATTCCCAGAACGACTTGGGCATGGAAGCATCACAAGCCTTTAGACGGAGTTTCAAACGCAGAACGGGCCGCAGTTCTGTGGAAAGCAGAGAGTCTGATTGGCAGATGGGTCTGCAGGCCAAGAGGATGTTAAGAGGGAACATAAGAGAACATAAGAGAAGCCGACGTTGGATCAGGCCAATGGCCCATCCAGGCCAACATTTTGGGTCACACAGTGGCCAGAAATACCAGGTGCCATCAGGAGGTCCAGCAGTGGGGCTAGGACACTAGAAGCCCTCCCACTGCTGCCCCCCCCAAGCATCAAGAAGGTTAAGGTGCTGGTTTTGACCTTTAAAGTCCTATATGGTCGGGGGCCTGCCTACCTGAGGGACTGCCTTTCCCCACACGTCCCCTAGAGAGCACTGAGAGTCAGGGTCACAAAATCGCCTGACTCTCCCTGGCCCAAAAGATGCTAGACTGGCCTCGACCAGGGCCAGGGCCTTCTCAGTGGCGGCTCCATACTGGTGGAACGAGCTCCCGGAAGACATCAGGGCCCTGCGGGACCTTCTACAGTTCAGCAGAGCCTGTAAAACGGAGCTCTTCCACCACGCCTTTGATTAGGAGCCGCCAATGACACACCGGTAACACCTGAACTGTTAACAACTGAACAGCTATGGCCCTCATATTAAGAACAATAAGAACAGTTACTTACTGGTACCTGTTCGGCTGCACTATACCACCGAAAACAGTCTCTGTGATGCTACCACCATCTATATCTACAGCACTATAGATAAATTGGATTATTGGTGGTTGATTGTATGAATTTTTAGATTGTTGCAATCTCGATGCACCCATGCTCTCATTGTACCTATCCTGCTGTATTTGAGCTTGTTGTTAGCCGCCCTGAGCCTGCCTGTGCGGGGACGGCAGAATACAAATCGAAAATAAATAATAATAATAATAAGAGATTGGATTTATACCCCGTGGCCCTTCACTACCCAAAGGAGTCTCAAGAACAGCTCTGACAGAACTATGGCTTGCCCAAGGTCATCCAGCCAGGTGCAAGTGGAGGAGTGGGGAATCAAACCCAGTTCTCCCAGATTAGAGTCCGCACACTTAACCACGACACCAAAGCGTCTGCCGCAAGATACCCTTCACTGTCCTCAGACGCCCCAGGGAATCAGGTGGTGGCAAAATTAACACTGTATTCATTAACCTGACGTTCGTGGGTGTGGCTGTGTTCAGGGACTTCAGACCCAACTGTAGAAAAGAGAAAGAATCTAGTAGCGCCTGAAGGACTAACCAAATTTATGGCAAGGGAGGAGCTTTTGTGAGTCAGACTCACACAAGCTTCTCCCCGCCACAACTTTGGTTAGTCTTTCAGGTGCTCCTGCTCTTTTCTCCTGCCACAGACAAACACGGCCACCCACCTTAACCTTCAGCCCAAGGTGCAGTCTGGTGTAGTGGTTAAGTGCCCACTCCTCCACTCACAGCTGCTGGATGACCTTGGGCAAGAGAGAGTTCTGTCAGAGCTGTTCTCCCAAGGACAGTTCTCTCAGAGCTCTCAGCCCCACCTACCTTACAGGGTGTCTGTTGTGGGGAGGGGAGGGGAAAGGAGTTTATAGGCCACTCTGAGACCTCCTTGGGTAGTGAAGTAAAAGGTAAAGGTTCCCTTGCTCGAAAGCCAGTCGAATCCGACTCTAGGGTGGTGGTGCTCATCTCCGTTTCAAAGCCGAAGAGCCAGCGCTGTCCGAAGACGTTTCCGTGGTTATGTGGCCGGCATGACCAAGGCGCACGGAACGCTGTTACCTTCCCACCAAAGTGGTACCTATTTATCTACTTGCAATTTCTTGCTTTCGAACTGCTAGGTTGGCAGGATGGATAGTGAAGGGTGGGGTATAAATCCAATCTCTTCTTCTTCTTCTTCGCCTTTCAGGTCCTCCTGGGCTCTTTATCTTTTCTGCTGCTACAGACAGACGAACACGGCTACCGCCTTGACCTTCAGACCCAGCTGCTGCAGCCCAAGGCCTAGGAGAAGAGACCCCCCTATTCCTTTTTATTTAGTTTGTTTGCATTGCTTATTGTCCGCGTTTCTCACTGAGACTCAAGCCTGATTGCACAGTGTATTTTAGCAGGAATCAAATCAACAGGACAGGACATCCAACAAAAAAATGCAAAAGCATCTGGGTTGCAGACATCTGAAACCAAGCAGACATCTGAAACCAAGCGTGTTGTGTTAATGCAAATTTTGCTTTGTTTCAGAAGCAGAAATTAGATAGGAGGGCCATACAGCAACAGACGATGTGTACTACACACAGCAGTGTCATATAGCACACAGTCCCCATCCCTTTCCCAAAGCACGGTTTGGAACCATTTAATTACAGTGCGGCCCGATTGCCTGTGCAATACAGTGCCTCCCTGAATATGTTGGGTTTGCATAGTTTGTGGAATGCCAGGAGAGGAGGGGTCTTCCTGACGTTATCAGGTAGGCAACTGCATAAGGTGGGGGCCACAACAGAGAATGCACATGTACAGGCAGCTGCTGATTTTGCCCATCTGTAGGGTGGCGCCCACAACAAGTCCCTGCTCAGTGGAGAAGGATGGGAGGAGCTGGGTGTGGCTCAGTGGCAGAGCCTCTGCTTGGCATGCAGAAGGTCCCAGGTTCAATCCCCAACATCTCCAGTGAAAAGGACCAGGCAGTGGGTGATGGGAAAGACCTTTGCCTGAGACCCCGGAGAGCTGTAAAGAGGGGCTGTGGCTCAGTGGAAGAGCCTCCGCTTGGCATGCAGAAGGTCCCAGGTTCAGTCCCCGGCATCTCCAGTGAAAAGGACCAGGGAGTGGGTGATGGGAAAGACCTTTGCCTGAGACCCCGGAGAGCTGTAAAGAGGGGCCGTGGCTCAGTGGTAGAGCCTCTGCTTGGCATGCAGAAGGTCCCAGGTTCAATCCCTGGTGTTATCTCCAGTTAAAAAGACTAGGGAGCAGGTGGTGTGAAAGAAGAGGAAGAGAGAAGAGATTGGATTTACACCCTGCCCTTCACTACCCAAAGGAGTCTCAGAGCGGCTTAGAAACTCCTCCCCCCACCCACAACAGACACCCTGTCAGGTAGGCGGGGCTGAGAGAGTGCTGACAGAAATGGCTTTTTTTCAAGAACAGCTCTGACAGAACTATGGCTTGCCCAAGGTCATCCAGCAGGTGCATGTGGAGGAGTGGGGAATCAAACCCGGTTCTCCCAGATTAGGGTCCACACACTTAACCACTGCACCAAACTGGCTCTCTGCCTGAGACCCTGGAGAGCCAATGCCAGTCTAAACAGATAAGACTGACTGAGGGTCTGATTCAGTAGCAGGCAGCGTCCTGTGTCATGAGGGAAACTGCTGAGGTGGAGCAAAGGGGAAGAGGTGATTCTGCAGATATGAAGGACTAAGGCCAGGGCAGACTTTGAATGTGCCAGCCAATACCTTGAATTGAATCCAGTAAAGGGCGGGCTGCCAACGGAGCGACAGCAGAATGGGAGTACTATGCATGCGAATAGCCACCTAAAGGCAAAGGCTTCCCCTTGCTCAAAAGCTAGTCGAATCCGACTCTAGGGGGCGGTGCTCATCTCCGTTTCCAAGCCAAAGAGCCAGCGCTGTCCGAAGACTTCTCCGTGGTCATGTGGCCGGCATGACCAAACACCAAGGCGGCGGCCCATAAGAGCCACCTAGCTCTGGATAATAAAAACCGAGCTGTGACATTTTGCACCAACTGAAGTCTCTGAGTTGACTCTGAGGGGGGGACCTACGTAGAGTCCATTACAGTAGTCTAGCCTTGATGTTACCACGGCACTGATCCAGGTGGCCAGATTGGCTGGGTCGAGATTGGGGGCCATCTTGTGGGCTAGACTGACTTGGAAGAAACATTTTTGGGAGTCGCATTAACTTGCTTCTGCACCAGTAATGCTGGGTCCAGTATAAACCATAGACTCTGGACCGAGTCTGCAAGTGGTCAGCTGAACCCCACCAAAAGTGGGAAGCGGGAGGCTTTCAAGACTTCAGCCTTCCCAGCCAGAATTACCTCCGCCTTGTCTGGGGTTCAGCTTCAATTTGTTCTCTTTCAGCCATTTAATCGCAGTAGTCAGTCAGTGACTCAAAACCTCTACTATATTGCCAGGAGATTTGGACAGAGAGAGATAGAGGTGGGTGTTGTCAGCATACTGATAGCAACAGTCCAGAAGAGAGAACACGGTTATAATACAGGATAAATAAATCCAACCACATTGATGGGGTCTGAACTGGCAGAGACTGAGCAAGAGAGAGATCTTGGAGTTGTAGTGGATAACTCACTGAAAATGTCGAGACAGTGAGTGTGACTGCAATAAAGAAGGCCAATGCTATGCTGGGGATTATTAGGAAGGGTATTGAAAACAGATCAGCCAATATAATAATGCCCCTATATAAATCAATGGTGAGACCTCATTTGGAATACTGTGTGCAGTTCTGGGCACCACACCTTAAAAAGGATATTATAGCTTTGGAAAAAGTGCAGAAAAGGGCAACTCGAATGATAAAAGGGTTGGAACACTTTCCCTATGAGGAAAGGTTAAAGCGCTTAGGGCTCTTTAGCTTGGAGAAAAGACGACTGAGGGGTGACATGATCGAGGTTTATAAGATTATGCATGGGAAAGAGCAGGTAAAGAAAGAGGTACTTTTCTCCCTTTCTCACAATACAAGAACTCGTGGGCACTCCATGAAACTGCAGAGCGGTCGGGTTAGAACGGATAAAAGGAAGTACTTCTTCACCCAAAGAGTGATTAACACATGGAATTCACTGCCACAGGAAGTGGTGGGTGCTACAAGCATGGACGGCTTCAAAAGGGAATTAGATAAGCATATGGAGCAGAGGTCCATCAGTGGCTATTAGCCACAAGGTATAGCTAGGGGCTCTGGGGCAAGTGATGCTCTGTCTTCTTGGTGCTTGGGGGGGGGGGTCAACAGTGGGAGGGCTTCTAATGTCCTGGCCCCACTGCTGGACCTCCTGATGGCACTGGTATTTCTGGCCACTGTGTGACACAGAGTGTTGGACTGGATGGGCCTTTGGCCTGATCCAACATTGGCGTCTCTTATGTTCTTATTAACCACTCCCAGTTAATCCTAGAAGGCATACTTGGTGTTGTATTTAAGGACTGGGGTTCTTTTGAAGGGGACAGAGGTTCCAGCGCAAGAATGAAACAGCATGTTTGTGAGGTGTTTCCGACTTTGAAAAAGGTTATCTTTGAAACAAGCCATCAGCTAGTCTGCTTGTCAGTTGGAACTTTAAAACAGCTGGAGTTTTGAAAACTTCCTGCTGGAACTTTGAATACTTCTTTGGAGGCGGGTCACCTGGTCAGAACTCTGTAATACTTCCTGGTGCATTTCTTGGGGATATGTCTATGACTGGAGTCTTGAGTTTTTGTACACATATCCTTTATAGGAACTGATGCCACTATACCTTGCATGTTCATTGCGTCCTTTCCCTATGTTGTTACCAGTGTACCCTTTAAATTGAATTAGTGTGAGCTAGCTCACAGTTTTTTAGCCTCTGGCTCATGCATTTTTGTCTTAGCTCAGGAAGGATGGGCTCCAGAGGAAACTTATGCAGTAGCCAAACCGCTGGCTCACAGCTTTAATGGCAGTAGCTCACAAAGTAGAATTTTTGCTCACAAGACTCCGCAGCTTAGAGGGAGCATTGGTTGTTAGTAGTTCTACTACGGTTGTGGTAAGGTGTCGATCCATATTGTCTAATGCATTATTGTTTGTTGTATTTATGAACATCTCTCCATTATTCATTTAAGACTCACACAAAGAATAACTGTATTGATTTCCTTATTTGTGTAGGTAATCTAGTACATTATTTGGGAACTGTCCAATTTCACGGTTGGATTTATGTATCCTGTCAGCATATTGATGGGCATCCAATCCCAGAACGACCAATGATTTCTCCTAAGGGCTTTATGTACATGATGGATAGCACTGGGGAGCTTATTGTAAACGGGATCCTATCGTGTAATTTCTGTACTGCTGTGTCGTGTTAAGACTCATGGCTATGCTTCCATTCCCTCTGGCGGTTCCAGACTTCTAAAACCCTCATGCACTAGTTACTGAATGTCCCGTCTTGTTGACTCTGTTGCACTGACTCACTCTGTGTAATCCACCTTGAGTCCCTGTAAAAAAAGCGGACTATAAATAGTTTTAAATAAAAATAAGCAAATAAATAAACTGCGCCCTGTGAGAACCCCACAGGCCAAATCCCATGTTGGCGATAATCCATCTGCATTGGGAGCCCTTTGAGGCTGGTGGTCTGTGAAGAATGATCAAAACTTGTCCAAGGCATGCCTCCTCCAGAGGGCCTGACCCACTCTGTCAAAGGCAGCAGATTAACCCAGTGGGAGCCACACAGAGGCCTGGCCCTTGTCCACACTCAGACGGACTTCATCAGCCAAAGCCACCAGAGCCGTCTCTGTCCCATAGCCTAGCCTTTATATTGGCGTTTGCCCCTATGTAAGCCACCCTGAGCCCGCATTGTGGGGAGGGCGGGGTATAAATTGAATTAAATAAATAAATAAATAGCCTGAAAAGGGTCCAGGCAGATGCGTTGTCCCAACAGGCCTGGAGGTGGTCTCCAGAGGATCCAGGAGTCCTGCTCCACCTCCTTCAAGAGCCAGTTTGGTGTAGTGGTTAAGTGAGCGGACTCTAATCTGGGAGAACCGGGTTTGATTCCCCACTCCTCCACTTGCACCTGGCTGGATGACCTTGGGCAAGCCGTAGTTCTGTCAAGAGCTGTCCTTGAAAAAGAGCAGTTTCTGTCAGAGCTCTCTCAGCCCCACCTCCCTCACAGCCGCAATGTTCCCTCTAAGTTGAGTTAGTGCGAGCTAGCTCACAGTTTTTTAGCCTCGGGCTCACAGATTTTCATTTTAGCTCAGAAAGGAGGGCTCCAGAGCACACTAATTTATGCAGTAGCCAAATCACTTGCTCACAACGTTAATGCCAGTAGCTCACAAAGTAGAATTTTTGCTCACAAGACTCCACAGCTTTGAGGGAGCATCGCTCACAGGGTGTCTGTTGTGGGGAGGGAGGGGAGTTTGTAAGTCGCTCTGAGACTCCTTTGGGTAGTGAAGGATGGGGTATAAATCCAATCTCTTCTCTTCTTCTTCTCTTCCTTCAAGAAGCCCCTCCCTACAGAGGAGGAAGGATATCTTACCCCCCTTCCAGACTCTTCTATCCACCCACCCATCACTGAGCTCACAGCAACAGTCAAAACATAACAAAGGGCCACTTGGGTGGGGATGTGGGTCCCCCCCTCTCCCCGCGCTCACCTAAGAGGGAGAAGACGACGTCCTTTGCCTGGTGCAGTTCCGGGCCTTCCCGGACGCCTGGGTTCCTGGCGTGGTACTCTTGGATGAGCTGGTTGAGCTCTTCGATCCGGGCTCCAGAGTGGAAATCGAGGTCCGTGAGAGGTTTGGCCGGGGCGGGTTTCAGGGGGTGGCCGTCTGGGGGGGAAGCCATGCCACCCCCACGGCCCTCTTTCTGGGAGGGCGCGGAGAAAAGAGAGACCTTCCGAGAAACCTTCTTGGGGAAGATGCCAGAAGGGGAGGGAGAGAGAGGGACTGAAATCCCGGGTTTCCTCCTCTGGTCTTAGAGATCCTTCCTTCCTGGCAAAACTGCTTAAATCGGAACTGGGGACCAGGATGGAAACGGAAAGGTGGCGGATCGGGAGTCAGAAAAGTGACCGGGGGCTTCTGAGGCACCTGGAGGGATGCAGAAGCGCCAGACCACCCCCCTCCCCCCTTCTCCCTGCTCCTGCAGGCGTCAGCTCCAGCAGTCCGGGAACCCCATTCACCTGAATCCGGATTTCCGTACCGCGTCGAAGTGTCGGGAGTCCCCTCCCTCTCACCTGCGGCTACCTGGCAAAACAGAGGCCACGCCCACCCAAGGGAGTCCCAGGAACCATGGGAAATGGAGTCTTTCCGCAGCCCCTTCGCGGGGTATCCAAAAGTATCCTGGGAAATGAAATGTTGAGTCCAGGGGCACCTTTAAGACCAGCAAGGGTTTATTCAACGTGTACAAGCAGACTTTTTCAGGCGCGATTTCTCTTCTGCCTGAAGAAGTGTGTGCATGCACATGAAAGCTTATACCCAGGATGAAACGGTTAGTCTTAAAGTGCCCCGGGCTCAAACTTTGTTCTGCTGCTTCAGAGCAACACGGCGAGCCGCCTGAAGCTATTCTGGGAAATGTAGTCTTCGGTTTTTTAACCAACTCCTCCACCAGCGGCCACCTTGCGCAACCTGGGCTTTGCAACAACCCCTTTCGAAAGAGGTACCAGAGATGCATTTTGGGAAATGTAGTCTTTGAACCAAATCCTCCCCGTGTTCTCTAGCCAGCGTCGCCTGCGCGCGCCAGTTTCTTTTCTTTGCAAAGGTGGGGGGTGTGGGGGAGCAGACATGCAGCAAGGGCCCCGACGGGGGAAAGGGTTTTTTTTTTAAGCTCCTAAAGATTCTTGGGAAATGTAGTTTTTTAAAAGCGCTACTAAGGAGGGTTTCCATGCAGAGGCTTTTCCCGGGTGGGGTGTGCTTCGAAGCCGCGCCAGCAGGGCCTGATCGCGAAACTGTCACGTTGCGCTTCAGAAGCCACGGCCGACCTTTTCCTTCGCGGAAAATAGGACTAATTATCCTGTGCAGCAGCGGTCGCCACACTCCAGGTGGGCCCTGGAGATCCCCCTGAATTATAACCAGAGTCACCAGCTCCGTGTTGGGGAACACCTGGAGAGTTGGGGGGGGTGGAGCCTGAGGAGGGCGGGGCCTGGAGAGGGGAGGGACTTCATTGGGGTATCTAATGTCATAGAGTCCATCTTCTGACCTGGCTATTTTTCTGCAGGTGAACTGATCTCTGTTGCTTGGAGACCAGTTGTAATCCCGGGAGATCTCCAGCCGCCACCTGGGCTTTGGCAACCCTAGGATCTCCAGACCACAGAGATCAGTTCTGCTGCAGAAAATGGCTGCTTTGAAGGGTGGCCTCTATGGCATTAGATCCAGCTGGGGTCCCTCACCAAACCCCGCCCCCCCAGACTCCCCCAGTCTAGAGCCCAAGCACTGTGCCTTGTGTCCGACAGAGTCCTTGCCATACGTTTCTTCAGCTGCCAAATTTGTCTCCCATCTTTCTGCCCTTACAAGGGCCACCAAGGCAGCTACCGGTTTTAAACAGACATAATAAAAACCACATTTTTGTGTCCGCAAGTAAAGTGCGGTCGAGTCGCAGCCAGTTTTGGCGACCCTGCTTGGCTTCCAGCTCATGGCCGCGACCCCAGCAAGGGGCTTCCTTTCGAGGCAAGAGAGAAGCAGAGGCAGTTGGCCATGGCCTTCCTCTGCAGAGCCTTCCTTGGCGGTCTCCCTTCCAAATACTGATCCAGCTTAGCTCCTAAGATCTGAAAAGTTCAAGCTATATACCGGGCCACCTTTCCTCTGCAAAAATCACCTTTTAAAAATTGTTACAACCAACCCTCGCCAAACACTCCTGGTTAAAGCAATTAGAAAACACAGTTAAAATACATAAGAAAGCATAAAAGCAGCAATTGAAATATTGGGAGGAAGGAGTGATTATTGAGGGAACGCCAAAGTCTATAACCCCTCTTTCCGCCCACAATAACCCCTATTTCCTCCCAAAAAGCTTTCACATGGTGGTGGAAGACAGCAACAGAAGGGGACAGACAAACCTCCCTGGGGAGAGATTCCCTTAGCTTTGGCACCACTACTGAGAAGGAGAAGGATTGGATTTATGCCCCGCCCTTCACTACCCAAAGGAGTCTCAGAGCGGCTCACAAACTCCTTTCCCTTCCCCTCCCCACAACAGACAACCCTGTGAGGCGGGTGGGCCTGAGAGAGCTCTGACAGCAACTGCTCTTTTTCAAGAACAGCTCTGACAGAACTGTGGCCTGCCCAAGGTCATCCAGCAAATGCAAGTGGAGGAGTGGGGAATCAAACCCGGTTCTCCCAGATTAGAGTCCGCACACTTAACCACTACACCAAACTGGGAGAGAAGGCCCTCTCCCAGATTGGCACCCAGCTAATCTCACAATTAGGTGAGGGCACCTAAGGTTTGGGGGCCCAGAAGCAAGCAATGGAAGCGCCTGACTGTCCCTACGCTCTCCAGAAGGGCTCAGGGGTAAACACAACTGAGTGCCCTGCAGACAGATGTGTGGTGGGGCTGCTTTTATTAACTAACCCAGCGAATAGTCGTATCTGGGCTGCCGGGCCTTCCTCCTCTCTGCCGGAGCCGACTATTTCACTGGCTCGTACACCCAGCCCGTCCCAGACACTCGATCGGTCGAGTAATAGCGGGTGCGGGACTTCCTGGCGCGGGGCTCCGTCTCCCCCGGCCCTTGGGCGATGTTGGTGCTGCCGCCGTGGTACCGCAGCGCCGTTGGCGAAGTCTGCTGTTCGGCTTCCCGGGATCTCCGGTGGGTTCTTCGTGGCTCCGGCGCCTGCTGGTCTTCCTGGCTACTGGTCATGGCCCCTCGTCGTCGTCGTCGTGAGGTTCGTTCGGGACTGGAAGACCGGCTCCCTGGGGGCGTTTGGGGGTGCACTGGGTAGATATAGACTTTGGCCGGTCGGCGAGAACGCGACGGGCGTTCAGCGTCTGGGCCAGGCCCGACGGAGCGATACTGGGCCTCTCCAGTCCCCATGCCCATGCTTCGACGTTCTGGGGTGCGGCCACCACTGGCACCCAAAACGGGGTCAGAGGAGCCAACGCCGGCATCCCGGAAACGGGTGACGGCGTAAGGAGAGGGGGCGGAGGCCCTGCGTAGTCGCAGCCTGCTCTCACCTTCGTACTTGGAGGGCCGCGGGGGCAGAGCCGGCGGGTAGTCTGCGTAGAGGCGGCGCCCCAGGCGGTACGGGCTGCTCTCGTTCTGGAGGTTCATGGTGACTTTCAGGGGTTCGAGCGTGCAGTGCAGGCGGCGGCTGCTGGGCGACCTGCTCTCCCTCCGGCGCCGGGGAATGTCCTCCTCCGACCAGCATAAGGATGGCTTCGCTTTGACGGCATATGTTCTTTTCCCCTTTGGCTTCTCTGTGGCTGCGAAGAGGAAGGGGAGGCGGAGAAGGAAGTCTTCTGAACATGGATGTGATGTTACTCTTGGGAGGCGATAATAATGGCAAGACAGGGTTTGCTCCCCAGTGGCTGCTGCTCGGGGTTGCCAACTCCAGGTTGGGAAATTCCTGGGGATTTGAGGGAGGGGCCTAGGGAGGGCGGGGTCTGGGGAAGGGAGGGAACTCATTAGGGCATAAGGCCCAAGAGCCCACGCCGCCACCCCCAAAGTAGCCATTTTCTCCAGGGGGACTGGTCTCTGTAGTCTGGAGACCTGAAGGCTGGCAACCATCCACAGATTGCCAAACTGGATTATGGCAGGGCAGGAGCTGGCAACAGGGGAGGCAACCGATGGCCTTGAACGGGCTCCGCAAGACAAGCCTGTTCCAAAGCAGGGTCTGACCCTTGGAGATTTGGGGGGAAAGGCGGAGCTTGGGGAGGGAGCTCAGCGAGGATGTGATGTCACATCCTCTGATGTCCCGTCCAGGTCAAAGGTCAGCTCCTCCAACTTCCTTCCCCTTCCAGCCAGGGCACTTCCTCCCGCCAAAATTCAAATACGAAAATTCAGATTCAAAAACATTCAAACAAACAAAATTCAAATACGAAAACAACTTCTTTCCCCTCCAGCCAGGGCACTTCCTCCCACCAAAATTCAGATTCAGAAATTTCACTTCCTATCAATTCCTGCACATTTCCCCTTCCCCACTTTATTTATTTATTTAGATTTGTACCCCGCCCTCCCTGCCATAGCAGGCTCAGGGCGGCTCACATAGTAAAAGCACAATAACAATAAATACATGCATCTAAAACAGTCCTTCGAACAGTTCATAAACAATTAAAACCAACTTAAAGGTAAAGGTACAGGTTCCCTTGCTCGAAAGCCAGTCGAATCCGACTCTAGGGTTGCGGTGCTCATCTCCGTTTCAAAACCGAAGAGCCAGTGCTGTCCGAAGACGTTTCCGTGGTCATGTGGCCGGCATGACTAAACACCAAGGCGCATGGAACGCTGTTACCTTCCCATCGAAGTGGTACCTATTTATCTACTTGCAATTTCTTGCTTTCGAACTGCTAGGTTGGCAGGAGCTGGAACTAGAGACGGGAGCTCACTCCGTCATGCGGCACCCGGGTCTTGAACTGCTGAACTACTGACCTTCCACAGCCTGCAGTGCAGCGTCTTAACCACTTGAGGCGCCGCAGCTCCAACTTACAATATATTAAAATGCTAGCAGTTGACTTAGAATATCAAGATGGCCTCATACATTCTGTAATTTCACTTGATATCAGCTCATTGGTCATTCTCAGTTTCGGTCGGCGAGCTCAGGCTGTCAGTAATGGGCCAGGCACCAGGCTTCAGTTGTTGCTAATGGTGGCAGTTGAAAGCCTGGCGGAAGAGCTCCGTCTCGCAGGCCCCGCGGAACTGCAAAAGGCCTGGAGCTCCTCCTGGAGCTCATTCCACCAGTGTGGAGCCGCCACCGAGAAAGCTCTGGCCCTGGTTGCAGCTAGCCTGGCCTCCTTGGGACCTGGGAGGCCCAATCGATTTTGTGACCCTGACCAAAGTGCTCTCTGGGGTATATATGGGGAAAGGCGGTTCCTCCGGTATGTCGGACCCTGGCCATAGAGGACTTTATATCACTTGGAGGCTTCTTCTTTTTTATTTATTTCAGCTCACTTCTGTATTCTGTACTGAACCACAAGGAAGGCAGAATAGACAAATCCATGTGTTTAGGATTGCCGTCCCCTGGGACCTAACCTTTGGAAGCGAAGGATCAGATGGCTCACTGCACTTTTAAATAATAAGAACCGCCCACTGTTTTC